TGCAAATTTCAAGCAAGTCATTAGTATTCAACTTACATTGAATAATAGTCCAAACGAATAGCTGCACCTTAGATAGAGCGGAAGCCTTCCAAAAACCCTCAAGCAGATGAGTAAGATGTATAGTGGTAGCTGGCGTTATTGGAAGGGGCTTGCACTGAACAAATTTTCAATTCTTATAGAAATCCCTAAACAGAGCCATGCTACTCAGTATCATTCAAGTAATGAATACTTTTCGAGTGTAACTGAAATAGATATATGGGAATTCAGCATCTTTAAATAAATGTTTTTGCCATTATTGATTAAGATCTTTAAATGGATCAACATCTACGCATGTTTTTGCAAGTTGTCTCTTATCTTGATGTTCTTTTTATTATTTATTCACTTGGCTACCTATTAATAGGATTAATATCTTTTATTCAGGGATGGCCCTTTATTGGTGGTTGCATGTGGCAGAGATACTATATCTATTGCAAGCTCTATAAAGCGCCTGGCATCAGAAAATGTCTTTGTTGTTCAGGTTTGTTAATAGGGCTTAACTTTGTTTTTCAGCTTGAATTCTTCCCCCACAAACTCATCCTGCCAAAAGCAAATTTACAAGCTTCAAACACTGACCTAGTAGACTAACTTGGACTGTGGTGCTTCATACTAACTTAGCTAAAATATTACAGCATTTCCAGCAGCTATATGCTCATTTTTCTTTCTTTTTATTTTCAAGGTCTTATAAGTACAGCATGTTCGTCATCCTAACATCTTATGGGACATTATTTGATGTTAAATAGTATACATCAAGTAATCCATGTAAGTTTATCTCAATGATCAACATAAATTGTCTTCAGACAAGAGTCAGGCAAGTGCTTATATAAAATGAGTTTTTGAGTTTTTGTCTAAGTAAAAAGTCAAAGCAAAAGGAAAAAACAGTTCTTATAAAAGACAATTTTTTTTTAAATGATAGAAAAATTTTATTAGAAACAAGATTGACTGGAGAAGGTATTCTTCAGCCAAAACAAGTACAAGAAGATAAAGCAAAAATATCATAGCAAAGTAGCAACACATTCCCTTTGCAAATGAGATGAGGAAATCCCAAAAGACTTGTCACCCTTCACCGAAGTAGAAGCGACGACACCATACTATCCCAAGGCGAGAAACTATTTCTTGAAGACCATGCCATAATCATGTTCAGGACAAATAAGGTTGATTTGTCCAATTAGGAATCTGGGGGTAAAAACCTAGATGTTACATTTAGGCTTCTTAGCCATCACACCTAAAAGTTGATCAAATTACACAATCAAGTATTTGAGAAACTTTCAAGATTATGTTATTGAACAACTGAATCTGTCCCAAGAAGTGAAACTACAATTTAGACCTTAAGGAGGGTAGGCTGGGGTTGCAGTCTGATGACCTTGACCGAAGAGACGAAATAAAATTGATGCTGGCC